CCCCCCCAACGATCAAGTGTACTATCTGATCCATGGTCCAAAAAAAAAGCGTGCGTGCAAGACGCGCGCGCAAGAGAGAGAGAGAGAGAGAGAGAGAGAGAGAGAGAGAGAGAGAGAGAGAGAGAGAGAGAGAAACTCGACCATCCCCCCACGATCAGGTGTACAATCTGTTTCGGTCAGGTTCATATCTGATCTGTTGTCGATCAAGAACTTAAAAAAAGAAGGGAAAAGAAAACGGAAAATCCGTTTGCATACTCATTAGTTCAATGGAGAAAAAAAAAACAAGGGAAGCATGAGCGATTTCGGAAATAAAAGAAATCGGAAACACAAGTGATTTCGGGAAAAAAGAAGTAAAGGGAAGTGGGCGCGTGCACGCACGTAGCCGCAAGAGGTAAGGCGCAGAGAGAGAGAGAGAGAGAGAGAGAGAGAGAGAGAGAGAGAGAGAGAGAGAGAGAGAGAGTCCATAAACTTCTTGGCAAACTTTTCATTTTTATTGCGGGCGTAGCCGCAACAGGTACCCTAGTAACTATTAAGAATGCTGAGCCATTTCCTCGAATTGATGATTTGTTGGATAGAGTGCAAGGTAGCAAATACTTCACTAAGATTGATTTGAAGTCTGACTACCATCAAATTGAGGTAGAGCCAGAAGACCTATACAAGACCGCCTTTCGAACAAGGTATGGGCAGTATGAGTTCATTGTGCTACCCTTTGGTCTTACGAATGCACCTGCAACCTTCCAAAGAACAATGAATGAGCATTTTCGTGAATGGCTTGATAAGTTTGCGTGATCTATCTTGATGATATTTTGATCTTCAGGAAAGATTTGAAAGAACATTGTGAGCACCTTCGACTTGTGCTAAATAAATTGCGTGAGGCAAATCTGAAATTGAACCCTAAGAAGTGTGCGTGGGCTAAGCGTCAGGTTTTATATCTAGGACATCTATGGTGACAGTATTAAACCGGAAGACACAAAGATTGCAGCGATTCGTGATTGGCCTAACCCCCGCACTTTGACAGAGTTGCGCTCGTTCCTTGGGCTAGCCAACTATTATCGGAAAGTCGTTAGACACTTCACGATAATTGTTGCTCCCCTTCGCAGATTGTTTAAGAAAGAAACCATTTGGAAGTGGGACTCAGACTGTACAACTTCGTTCAAGCGTTTAAAGAAATGGTTGATTAACTATTCGGTTTTGAAAGTTGCTGATCCTTCGTTGCCCTTTGTACTCACAACCGACGCCAGTCAGTATGGGATAGGCGCTGTACTCCAACAAGATGATGACGGGAACGGATACAGGCCTGTTGAGTTCATGTCCCGACGACTGCCTAATGAGAAGGTCGCCGCTTCTACGTATGAGAGAGAGTTGTTTGCTCTCCGAGAAGCCTTGGATCATTGGCAACACTACCTCTTAGGACGCCACTTCAAAGTGTACTCAGATCATGAGACACTTCGCTGGCTTAAGACGCAGGCCCGGATGACACCTAAGTTGACTAGGTGGGCCGCTGAGATTGATCAGTATGATTTCGAGCTGAAGCCAGTTAAGGGTAAGTATAATGTTGCCGCCAACGCATTAAGTCGAAAATCCGATTTCTTCGGTGCCATTGTAACATATTTAGATATGGGCACCGATCTGCAAGAAAAAATTAGGAATGTGTATTCCACATATCTTGTCTATGGCGCTATGATTAAACATGTGCAAGAAGCGCCAGCCGAGTTTCCTGACTATCGTATCGCACAAGGACTGTTGTTTGAAAGAACGGATATGCATGATAGGCTTTGTATTTCAAATGTGGAAGAAATCAAGAGTTTGATCTTGGGGGAATGTCACGATACCGAGGGCCATTTTGGGTGGCGGAAAACCTACGCAAACCTTGTGCGTTCCTACACCTGGCCTCGTATGAAACCGGACTGCATTGCATATGTGCAGGGCTGCCAAGTGTGCCAAAGAAATAAGAGCACTACACAGCCTCCCCTTGGTCTACTTAAGCCTCTGCCAATTCCAATAGGTCTTGGAGACTCTGTGTCCATTGACTTTATGGACACCAAGGTGAAAAGCAGGAATGGAAAAACGCAAGTCATGGTCATTGTTGACAAATTTAGTAAGTATGTTGTTTTTGTAGCATTACCTGCGGAAGCAAGAACCGAACTGGTTATCAGGGAGTTCTTTAACCATTGGGTGAAAGATTATGGACATCCCTTGACAATTGTAAGTGACAGAGACACAAGGTTCACAAGTGAACAATGGCAGCAACTAATGAACATCTATGGCTCTAAGTTGACTATGTCTTCAGGTAGACATCCTGAGACAAACGGCCAATCTGAGCAAATGAACAAGATTTTGCAGCAGACGCTGCGTATGTACATCCGTCCCGGTCAGATTGACTAGGATGAGCATTTGCCCAAAGTTGCTAGTGCTTATAACAACTCTGTTCACCTATCTACATGCAAGAGTCCGATGGAGTTGCACCTGGGATGGCGTCCACACAGACCTATCGACCGTCTGAACCCGGATCAAGTACATAAGCTTCCACTAGGAACAAGTGAGTTTGCAATACAATACCAAAAGGATATAGAAAAGGTAAAGGAAAATATAATAAAGGCACAACATCAAATGATTGAACAGGCAAATAAACACCGAAGACCACCTCAATTCGCCGTAGGTGATCTAGTATGGGTTAAGTCTAAGGAGTTTGTTCCTGAGGAGAACATTCTCAGAAGCTGCTACCCGCCTACAGAGGACCTTGGCAGGTTCTAGATGTGGTAGGAGATGTGGATGGACCTTCTTACGTCATTGAGATTCCTCTGCACTTACACACGTATCCTGTGTTCCACGCCTCAAAGCTCTTACCGTGCATAACCAACGAGGTATTTCCCAGCCGCAGATCGGCGATTCCTCCAAGTATGAATGGGAAGTACGATGTGGACAAGATTATTGCTGAGAGTACGTTTCAAACTGGACGTAGATGCAGACCCCAGCGGCAATATAAGGTAAGATTTGCCTATCAGGACCCAAGTGAAGATCGCTGGTTCACAAGAGAAGAGTTGATTGAGTCTGCACCTCATATTGTGTCTGCATATGAAAGAGCAAGGAGAGGAACAAGTATCATAAATAGATGAAGGTTTTCTCAGAGGACTTCGAAATTAGGCCGGCGAGAGTAAAAGGGCCTTTACCCTATTCAGGGCCTGAATGACGAATTTAGCATTGGGGCATCCTTCGGCCAGAACCTAACACGTGAAAAGCAAATCAAAAGGCATGTTCTCTGAGTCAAAAGTCGCATCCTAACTAAGTGAAAAGTCATGTCTAAGGTCACAGTTGTGCCCCTGGACGAACAGTCACAGTATTCAGGTTTTGAGGGTCATATCTGTTCATCCAGGAGGTGTGCAAGTCATGTCTGTTCGTGCAGTGTATGTGTCTGTTGAGGCCATATGTGTCTCTTTTCAAAAAGAAAGTCAAAAGACAGGTCCCAGTCCGACCAAAGTCCAACAATCAGTCTAAAGTCCGAAATTCAGGCTTCAGGGCTGCAGCAGCAGTAGACCCTGAGGAAAGGTACTGGGACACACTCTACACAGTCTGGGACAGGGAAAAGAGTTCTGAGGGAGGCTGATTCAGGCCTCAGTAGGCCAGGTCATTGGTATTAAAGAGCAGGCCAGCCTCCCACACGACAGATTCTCCAGTAGCATTGATACGTGGAAGTGCTGTAGCACTTGTGCGTTGGCTGGCTGGATGAGCGCTGGCTGGATGAGCGCTGGCAGGAGAAGCTGCGCTAAGAGGAAGAAGGCTGGCGCTGGCTTGCAAGAGGGAGCCATAGCTGCACCAGCATACTAGCAGTAGTAGTAGTAGAAGGGTTAGTGTGTAGTCTTCAGTGAGTAGCATTCAGAGTAGGTTCTCGTAGACAGGGAGTGTGCATGCATGTTGAGTGAAGAGAACCAGAACAGGGACCTTGAGAGAAGACAAAAAGAGAAGAGACAGGTTATGGTACTGGATATGGAAGATACTTACCTGTTGGCGCTACACTTGTGATCTGGGGCAGACGCTGGCTGAGCCAGGCCCTGTGTGTATGGTTGATTGAGGGAGAGACATGTACTTTGGGGGCGCTGAACTCTTGAGCTTGAGATACTCTTGTTTAATGTGATTTGACAATATAAGCTGCGCTATCTGGTTCTCATCTCGTCTTATCTCAACTTGGCTTTGTGTGAGATACTCAATCTGTGTGTTGACACTTGTGCATGCGAAAAGATACACTCCAGCAAGGTGTGGTCAGACAGGACCCTTGCACTGTTCAAGTTCTGACAAATAGATTTGACAGGAAACTGCGGGGAAGCTTGAGCTCATCCCAACAGGATTCTCTGTTTTCTTAGAAATGATGTAGTGCAGCTTGGAAATGTCGTCTTTCTTCGAACACCTGTGGTTGTGCTGTTTGGAAAACTGCAATGTCTTCTTTCTTGAGACACCTGATGAAGTGTCGTTCGGAAGACCGTGGTGTCTTTTCCGATATCACTTGTTCCCAGTTGTGTCCATAAGGAGTTTCAATTGAAGTGTTTGCTACTCCTTTTGTGTTTTATCTCATGGCTCAGAATGCAGGCGAGTTTGTGATCACATTTCCTCAGGCGTACCATGCTGGCTTCAATCATGGGGTGAGAATCGCGAATCTGTTTGTCTTAGACTTATGTGTCACTCGTTTGTTACCAGCAGAAAAAGAGAAAAGGTGTTTGCGGGCTCTTTTTCATGAAAATGGTGTGTATCTGTCAGGCGATCTGTGCTGTGGTGATTTTGCTGGATTCAATTTCTGGCCCAGTTCTGGCTGGTTTTCTTTGTAGTGCAGCTGCTGTGATTCAACCCCAGCACCTGCAGGACTAGATTAGAGATATATTGCTTTTGAGCAGTTGGCAGTGGCAGGATTTGAGCCCAGGTCTGGGTTTTAGCCGTCCAGTGGGCATTTGCTGAAGCTTAGACCGTTCAGGTAGTTTTATTTAAGTCCAGATCAGCCATTGAAAAAAGTCGCAACTGTTAATGCGCCGCGACTTTCGGGGGTCGTGCATAGAATGGCCGGTCGCAGCTAGAACGAATTTGTAATGCCCAGAACTACTTTTATGACTTGCTAGATGTCGGGAAAGGCGTTGTCAGAGGCCGTGCTCACAAAACAGAAGTCCTGAATGGATCTAACTGCAAATACGTTTAGATTCTCACTGTTGTTGTTATTGTTTTTTTTTTTCCGTTCCTTTGTTTTTGTTCCCCTGCCAGCAAGGCAGGGCGTGTTTGGTAAGTACAGAATGCATGTAACGTGTACAGCAGTATAGATTTTCAATGGTTTCTTTTTTTTTTTTTTGGTTCTTTTCGTTTTCCTAGATTCCCCTGCCAGCGAGGCAGGGCATTTTCGTGATGTGCTCCCCGTTCTGCATACTAACATTGGCATTTCGAGGAATGAATCAGACCAATTTCAGCGCCAGAACGGCTTCCCCTTTTTTGTTGTCTTTTTGCTCTCCGACAAAAAAGGCATTGGGGCTGAGATGCCCTCACCGAGGGCATGCTCTCACTATTACTTGGTAGAATGTATCCAACTCCTTTTTTGGGTTTTGCAGCTGGTCCCTCCAGCCTCGGCCCGTCCTGCTACTGGTATGTCCAGGCTTGGCATACAGGTCGCCTGAGGGTCGGACTGCATAGCTGGGTGAGGTACTGGGTTCGACACTAGCATGCCCTGGCCTGTTTTTGTTGGAACTTTTTGGAAGTCCAGCAAGAGGGGAACCAATTCTGCTCCACACAAAGTAGAGGCGAGGTGATTGCTTGTTACTACTAGGGAAATCATTTTTTTTTACCTGCCATTTATCTCGCGACCTATCATGAACGAATGTAAAAAAAAAAAAAAAAAAGAAGATATTCGGAAGAGGAGGAGGAGGAAGAACAATAAGAAGAAGAAGACGAGGGGGAGGACGACGACTAGAGATGAAGACGAAGAAGAAGAATAAGATGAGAGAGGGGGGGGGAGGAGGAGGAGTGAAGAAGTCGTGGTAGAAGAAAAGCAGAAGAGGTATAAGAGGAAGAAGGAGAAGAAGAAGAAGAAGAAGAAGAAGAAGAAGAAGAAGAAGATGAGAGGGGGAGGAGGAGGAGGAGGAGAGAAGAAGAAGCAGAAAAATAAGAGGAGGAGGAGGGAGGAGGAGTGAAGAAGTCGTGATAGAAGAAAAGCAGAAGAGGTATAAGAGGAAGAAGAAGAAGAAGGAGAAGAAAAAGAAGATGAGAGGGGGAGGAGGAGGAGGAGAGAAGAAGAAGCAGAAAAATAAGAGGAGGAGGAGGAGGAGGGAAGAAGAAGAAGAAGAAGAAGAAGAAGAAGAACAGACCGGCAGTCCTTGTCGACGGGGCGGCAGTGGATGCTGGCAGGCAGTCCTCATCGACGAGCACCACGATGGACGACGCTAGCGACGGGTGACGGGCGACTCGACGAGCACCACGATGGACGACGCTGGCGACGGGCGACGGGCGACTCGACGACGACGGGCGAGTGAAGCTCCCAGGCGATGGCGATGACGGGCAGCTGCTTCGACGACGCATGCACACCAAGGACGAACGCAGGCGGCTGGAGCAGGGGCCCCGTTTGGAAAGCCAATGCAGACCGCCCCAGCCAGTCGCTTGTTCAAACGGGGCCTCCTTTTTCCTTCCAAAAACGAACGGCCCTCTGGCCGTCGATCATCCATCCTCTGGCCGTCGATCATGGATGATCGACGGCCGGAGGGCCGTCCAAAATTCAAAAAAAAAAGCAGGCCTCACGGGCCCGAGGCGCCGTTTTCTTGGCGTGGTCGGACCCGGTAGGCCCTGGCAACGCGAAATCGAGCCGATTCGGGGTCGGAAACCCCCCGCCAATAAGGTGTGCTGGGGGGGCCCGGCCCCGGATCCGTACGCAGCTGTGATTTGAATAGCGTCTCTGAAATGGACTGAATCTTCTTGTCTTTGAAGTGGTCATTTCAGACGACACCATGCGCAGATGGGCAGCCCGGATCTCTCCCAGTGCGGATCCCCACCCAGGTGGGCCTGGCAGTCCCAGGCAGGGGCGGCAGGGTCATGATCAATCCTATAATAGAACTTAAAAAAAATAATAATAATAAATAAAATCATAAGTATCTGGGGAAAAATTATGGCCGAACTTGCACTACAGATGATTTTGGGTTGAGGGCCTTCTCAAAACTTCTCACTTTGTTTTCTATCTTCTATTTCTTAAATGCACGAGTGGGTGTCAGGTGAGGCTGTCCCACAAGACTCAGGAAACCAGTTGGGTCGAGGGTTCAGCCCTGGAAACCATGTCGGATCTTATTTCGTTGTGCTCCGAGCCACTTTTATTGTTTTTTTGGGCCAGGGACTCCATGAGATTGTTTTTGGGCCCGGCCCTTGGGATTTGTTTTCAGCAGGTGCACGTCTTTTGACTCTTTTCATCCTCTTTTATTTTGTGGGATGAGAGTGGATTGCAGGCACTCCCTACTCTGTTGAGAATGAGGAGGGTAAGAGGAGGATGTGGTGGAGCAGGAGGGGAGGTGGTGGAGGATGAGGATGAGGAGGAGGTGGAGGTACATGGAGCAGGAGGAGGAGGAGGTGGTACCCAGCAGCATGGGGAACAAACAGGATATGTTCATCATCATCACCACCAAAAGGCTTCCAGTTCTTAGGTGGCGGAGCAGGAGGAGGAGGAGGTGCCAGAGGAGGAGGAGTTGAAGGAGGAGATGGCGGATAGGACGTGGCCGCAGTGGAGGAGAAGGTTACAATAGAGAACGAAGAAGTGGCAGAAAAGAATGGGGTCGTAAAGGAGGGGGAGGAGGACAAGGAGGAGGTGGCGGAGCAAGAGGGACAAGAAATAAAGGAGGTTATGGAGCAGGAGGGGCAGGAAGAGGAGAATGGGGCGGTGGAGGACGAGGTGGCAGATAGGAGGTGGCCACGGAGGAGGAGGAGGAGGTTGCAATAGACGAGGAAGAAGTGGCAGAAAAGAATGGGGTCGTAAAGGAGGGGGAGGAGGACGAGGAGGAGGTGACGGAGCAGGAGGGACAAGATATAAATGAGGTTGTGGAGCAGGAGGAGCAGGATGAGGCAGTGGATGACAGGGAGGACAAGGAGGAGGTGCTACCTAGCAGTATGGGGACGAGAGCAAAAAGGCAAGAAGTTTTTAGGTGGCTGAGGAGCAGGGGGATGGTGGAACAGTAAAGGGGACACCAGGAGGAGGTGGTGAAGGAGGAGGAGGAGGAGGAGGAGGAGGAAGAGGTGGCCGCGGAGGGCGGGGGAGGAGGAGGAAGGTGACGAGAAAGGCTAGGAGGAGGGGGGTTTGATGGAGAAGGGGCAGGCGGTGATGAAGCAGGAGGCTCTGGGATGTGGCAAAGATGCAGTAGGCAGCAGAGGAGAAGGAGGAGGAGGTTGCTATGGGGGAGGAAGAGGTTCAGAGGGTGAGGTGGTGGAGAAGGATGGGGATAGCGAAGTAGGAGAGGGAGGAGAAAGACCACTTCCGTCTGAAAGAGAGAGAGAGAGGGAGGTGGAGGAGGGGAGAAGGGGCGGTAGAGTTGGGATTGGGTCTGTCTCTCTCTATTCAGCAGAGTAGGAGAGGGAGGAGAGAGAGAACGCTCCTCCCTTCTCCTTTGGTATGTTCGTCTGAGCAGGAGAGAGAGAGGAGGGAGGAGAGAGAGAACTCTCCTCCCTTCTCCTTTGGTATGTTCCATCTGAGCAGGAGAGAGAGAGGTGGACGGGCCGGGATCGCAGCAGAGTCGAGATCGGTTCTCGCTCTCCCCTTCCCCTCTCCCCGCCCCTTCTGGATCGCAGCAGAGTTGGGATTGGGTCTGTCTCTTTCTATTCAGCGGAGTAGGAGTGGGAGGAGAGAGAAACTCTCCTCCCTCCTCCTTTGGTATGTTCCATCTGAGCAGGAGAGAGAGAGGTGGAGGGGGCAGGATGGCAGCAGAGTCGAGATCGGTTCTCTCTCTCCCCTTCCCCTCCCCCCGCTCCTCTCTCTCTCTCTCTCTCTCGCTCTCGCTCTCGCTCTCTCTCTCGCTCTGTGTGCGTGTTACATGGCAGAAAAATTGAAATTGCTCAAAGGACGTCATGATTCTGCAGATTTGGATTATGGTTTTGCTTGTGTGCTGTGAGTTAGTTTTTGAGATTATTGCTACTGCATCACCTTGTCTACTTGTATCAACATCGTGGCTGACATGACTCTTTTTTTGACATTGTTGCTACTGCATCACCTTATCTGTTCTATCAACATTGGTGGCTGACATGAGTCTCTCTCTCTCTCTCTCTCTCTCTCTCTCTCTCTCTCTCTCTCTTTTGCACCTACCTCCCCCACTTCCTTCCTCTCTTTTTTTTGCACCCACCTTCCCCCTTTCCTCCCTCTGTTGGATTCCCTGTCATGTCTCCTTGCAGTTTAATTGTGCAGAGGCTGTTAATTTTGCGCCGCCAGATTGGCTTCCTTATGGTGCCAAAGGTAGACCATATGCTCTGCCCCATGGGCTGGGATCCAGCTCCAGTGTATGCCAATTTTATGGCTTTGTTGGTAATGCAATCAGACTCACTTTCTTCTTACTTTGTATGCATGTAAACAGATGTCAAAGTACTCTGGCGCCAGGCGCCCACACAAAGCTCAGAGATATCACAGGCGAGAACACAGTTTGAATACAAGCTCGCTTCAAATAACTATGGCGCCTGTGTGCCTTTACTTCATCCCCCACATCACTGTATCCTCACAACTTGTTCACATGCACACTCACTGGATCTCCCTGGATATCCCACGCGCACACACACTCTCGCTGTACACGAACACACACACCCACTAGACACTTCACTTCCTATCACAGCTATGGCTGCCGCCTACGCAGCACTACAGCGGCTATGTCCGCTTTATCTTGCCAACTGCCCACTCCAACTTCGGGCTTCCTGCAGACCACCGAGCACAAGGCGCACTGGCAGCGCTTCCGCAAGGATCACCACAGAATGGATGAATTGCTGGACGCTGCCTCTTGATTTATACTTCTGTTGGCCGCTGGTCTGCCTCTTTCCACCAGGCCCTTGGTGCACACAGTCCCACACAGTACTTGCTGACTGGACTGAGTGTGACTGGGACCGGTACCACTGACTGCACGGGGTTGCACTGCCGACTCGACGCAGTTGGACTTACGACTTGCCTACAGACCTCTAGCCTAGCAGTTTCGACCTCTACACAGCTGTGTAACCGTTACTTGACAGATCTACAGATCGAATCCCTACAGCTACAGGGACCTACGACAAAGAACAGTCACTACTAAAACACAGGTCGCGGGCTCAAAGCACACAGGGGTCAACTCGGTACTGTACACGGGTCCAGGTAAGGTCTAGGGATCGAACCCTGGGATCTGCATCTGCTTCTGCAAAGGTGAAAACCGTTTCAGTAAAAGCTTTTTCTTTTCATTTCCCAGGAAAGGACACCCTTTAAAGAATTGGTCATGCCTTCGTTGGTCAAAGCTTTCTTCTTTTTATTTCCCAGGAAAGGACACCCTGTAAAGGGAGGGCTCATGGAGTTCGAAGAACGTTAGTCTGTTTGCTTGTCGATCTGCAAGTCTATCTCATTCGTTGGTCAGAGCTGCTTCTTTTTATTTCCCAGGAAAGGACACCCTGTGAAGGGATCATGGACTTCGAAAAGAGCATGTCTGTTTGCTTGTCAATCTGCAAGTCTATCTCATTACATTACATTCTCAGCACGGTAGTTGTTGGCATAGGCAGGAGTTCCATGCTCCTCGTGTCTACGATTAGCGCCGTGTGTAATCTGGTTGCCTCTCATTGATAGCATACTTGCCATAGGGTCATGGAATGCCGAAAGTTTCTCTCATCCTGGTTGCCTCCCAAATTCTCCCAATGATATGAGACTACGCATCCTGGAATGCAGAGAGTTATCATACAATGGATAGTACCTGTTTATGCCTAAGTGTTCCTTTCGCACGGAGTCTCGCATGCTGAGAGTCTCAGACTGAATGTTTCCTAGGGGAAGGCAGGCCTACCCAGGGAGACCACCAGCAAGAGTTCAGAAAGGACTACCGCATTTGTTTCAAGGACTGGACAATGGTGGGCCAGGAGTTCCCGCTGTGACTATCCACAGAATTTCCTGACCCCTTCCCGCCCCACCAGCTAGCAATGGTGGACCTGCAATGGTATGGAACCGGCTGTGCAGTCTGAGCGAGGGCAGAGAATATAACGGAAGTTTTCATTTTGAGATTGGCAGTTGGGACCGGGGGGTAATAGGGGCTGGGGGGGAGGGAGGAACTAGTTTGTAGCAGCAGGTAGTTGGCGCCTGGTTCAAGGTGAAGAGGTTCTCTTCCTTTTTCCAATCTCCTGCTCAGTCAATCCTCTGGATTCCAGAGTAATCAATGCTGGCAGGAGTCTCCCGCTCTTTTTCCCTGATGTACTTCGAATTTCTTCTGTATATGGGACGCTGGACCCGTTTTCCAGCAGGTGCTGCTCCCCACCAATAGATGGAGCCTCTCCTCAGGTGCTAGCGGTGTCTGCTCTTACCATCGCCACTATCACTGGAGGGGAGTTACCTCAACTTCGTACTGGGTTCGAATTTGTAGGTACTTCAACTTCATACTGTTCACAGTATATTGGAGGGTAACCCACCAGAACTTCTCCCAGCCATTTTTCTGGGATGCAGCTGTGCACGACCCTTGACTTTCAGAGCATGCCCTACTGGAGCTAAATGGCTGGCGGCGCCAACCAAAAGAAAACATGCCGGTTTGATCTTTTTCAGTGCGCAGGGGCAATCCTCTTTGTAAAAGGGAAGCCGGTAAGTACTGGTGGTTTCATCACAATCTGTGCAGCTTGCTGGCAAGAGGGTATGCAATGGATGTGTTGAATCTGTTACGGACTTCGCCAGGGCTCGATCCCTGGTCTATCTTTTGCTGTTTCGGCTGCATCCCGTTTTCGGCCTGGCACCCTTTTTCCAAACCCCTCCTTTGGTACCGTAGGATTTTGGACAACTGGCGCCATGCTGCAATTCGGGCGCCACTTTCAAATACTGCATTTTTCAGTTCTGCCCTCGGGGCCT